AATAATAATAATAATAATAATAATAATAATAATAATAATAACTTTATTTAAGTGTCAGGGTAGGTATTTAGCTTACAGAAGCTAATTGGGGACACTACTGCGTTACAATGTATTGAGATTTAAAATGTACTCATGTTAGAAAAGTGACAATTACAGTCTGTAAGGTTTTCATTTTCCCATACATTTATCTGTAAAACCAAGTCACAAATCTCTGGAAAATTTAGAGACATTTGTATGATAAATTAAAGGCGCAATCCCTCGCCTCGCAGCAAATCAATGTTCTTCAAATTTGATCCAAAAAACCTTCTGCTTAAGATCTGTTCCTTGTAACTCATGATATAGTAGAAAGGTCAATCACTCTCAACTTACCGGGCATCGAACTTTTAAATTTCCCCATACATTTACTACAGAAACCGTGAAAAAGTAATAATGATAACTTGATTTAAGTGTCAAATGTATTTAGCACTATTAAATGTGCTAACTGGGCACACTGTAAATAAATAAACAAATGTTTCAAATGTAGCATAAACTATTAAGAATCCCAACTGGTTGGAGGCTGACCAGTTGGCCATTTACACAACGCGGTCGAGGAGTTGAACTCGGGGCTACCGAGAACAAATCCAGATAGCTGTAGGGTGGAGGATTTGAACCAAACCACTCGCCGCCTCCTTAAAGTCCATTAACTAAGCAACCAGAGGTTTGCTGAGCTGTTATTTGAGGGTTATTTTGTTTCAGGTATGTACTGGATCGATCCTAACGGTGGAACAGTAAAGGACGCTATCTGGGTGTACTGCGAAAAAAACAAGAAGTCGTCATGTGTTTACCCCAAGTACTCACGGGTAATTGACAGCATTTTCTGTCTGTTCAAAACCCAGTACCAGCCGATAGTTTAAGTATATAGAGAATGAATGATAATCCGAGAATGTTCATAATTGTGTCGAAATTCAAACAACAATTGGCAAAACTGGAAGTTATATTTCGGTAAGAACTTTACCTTCAACAGACCAGAAAATACAAACAAGGCAGCTCTTAAATACAGTACGGTGCTAATAACAATGAAGAGACGAAACAAAAAGAAACACTTATGAGAAAAGGCAAAGTTCTCTGCTGAATTTGAGTCCTTTGTGGAGGGTAGGTGTCATTCATTCTCTTTCTGTTTAAATTGGAAAGTATTTACTTTCTCGTATTTTGCATGCACAGAAATGCTTGATATTCTTTTTAATTTACAGCTGAAGAGCGTCAGAAAACTAACATTAAATGACAGCTAATAAACAGCTTTTTGGAAAACTGGAGACCAAAAAAGACATGAAGTCTTGCATTTCACCCCGAAGCAAGCCGCGTCTGTTTTACATAAATTTCACAAAGCTGAGCCTGTTATCACTAACGCCGTCACAATTCTCCCTTAAATACCTCCCTCTGGGTTAGCCGAACATTATCGCACTCGAGTTTAGAGTCGCTTTGTAATGTTACGCTTTGTTACTTGTTCCATTTTAGATCTCCGACCTTGCACTCAAAGGAGATTATCAGGACATAGAAGACAAGTGGCTGAGTGAAGCGTTCGAGAAAGGAAAGGAGGTGAGAAGACCCGCCATCATGGAATTGTAATTAGTTGCGACAACAGCACTGATAACAACTCTAGTTAACTGAAGTACACTTGAAAATGCCTGTTACCTGTTAACTATCCTCCTCGTGCCTTATGGCACATAGGGCTTTAACAGTGATCCTCCACTTTTCTCGTTCTGCGGCGATCGTTCTCGTTTTCTCTCATGAGCTCCACCCTTTTTCTTTCCGTCCCTTTTCTACTGTTCGTCTTCGTGTTTTCTCGGGTACTTGAAAATACAGCGCATCATATATTGCTCTTTAACTTATCTATCATTCTTGGCCTCTTTTTGATGCTTTCAACTCTTCTTTTACTTCGTATTTTTGAGTAGATTGTTAATGAAAGTTTGATAATTTCCCCAGTAAAGGGTTGTTTACACTAATGTAAAAGAGTGGGCAATATTTTGAATGAGCCTGGAGGTTTTCTGTTGTCCGTTTATCGTCTATCCTTACCTCTGTGCGTATCTGTGAAATGTGTAGGAAGCTTTCCGTGATTACTAACAGGTATTATCCTTTGATTTCTTCCCCAAGTATCTTAAGGCTTTATTAGAGGAGCTCAGTCACGGTATTTTGAGTAATTTTGGCCACCTACAAAATTACCTTTAAATTGAAGGAAACCTGAAAATAACAGTTAAATAAGATAGAAAAACACCAAAGAGATAATGATAGACCATAAAGGAACAAGGATGGCTAAGGATGGAGAAGATTAACACGGATTGCAAACGACGAATATGAAAAATTAAGGCTGAACTTTTCAATAGGCGCAAAGCGTGACTGAGCTCCTTTAACTTTGCGTTCTACGGTCTACTCTGTCAGAGGAACTGATATATTTTCATTGTGTAAACTTGCTTTCACTTATGGTCGTCACTCTTTTAAGTATTTTGCATGCAAAACTTAGAACTCTTTACCTTAGAACAAACCGGTTTCAGACGCCTCGTGAAAACAGTGCCCTTTCAGGTCTCTGAGGCATGATTGCTGATGACTACACTAGGCCGTTTGAAAGTTGTTGTTGTTGTTGTTGTTTTTTTTTTAATGTAGACAAACGTAGTAGTTTATAGTAGTTCTTGTTGTTTTTGTATTTACAGTGTTTTTTTTTTTTTGGTATTAACTTCTTAGCTACTCTGTAAATTCGGGGTAAAATAAAGTCATATACGTATGTATGATTGGACCTGTTACGTTTCTTTAGATTGAATACGATGCCCACTACACGCAGCTTAATTTCCTGAAGACGTTTAGCAATTTCGCCAATCAGAACATCACATACGCCTGCCGTAACTCCATGGCCTGGGAAGAAGGACAGCACTCCATCAAACTCAAGGGCTCCAACGAAATGGAATATCATGCCACCTCCAAGAACTCCCTCAGGCCTAAAGTCATCGCTAATGGCTGCATCGTAAGTAAAGCGCCATGACTGGTATTGTGTCTCTTCTGTCTCTCGCATTTTTGTACACCAGAAGCACTGAAGTAGTTATTGAGCGGCGGTATTTAGAACCAGGCAGTGGTTTCTGTCGGAGGCACGGTGGCCTCTTGGTTAGTGCGCTCGACTCCGGATCGAGCGGTCCGGGTTCGAGCCCTGGTCAGGGACATTGCGCTGTGTTGTTGGGCAAGACACTTTACTCTCACAGTGCCTGTCTTCACCCAGGTGTGCAAATGGGTACCGGCGAACTTACTGCTGGGGGTAACCCTGCGATGGACCAGCATCCCATCCAGGGGGGAGGGGGGGAGTTGATTAAAAATTAGGAATACTTCTTGTCGCTTCATGCTACAGAAACCGGGATAAACTCCGGCCTGATGAGCCACTTGGCTCGTATGCAGACTGTTTTTTAGTGGTCTCTCGATAGCTGATAGGCAATGAATAAATTTTCGTCATTGATTTTCCCGCTCTGATCAGACGTTTTCTGTCCATTGATTCCCGAGCGGATTTTTTATTATACCAAACTCGAGAGGTTGTTCGACCCTTGTGAGTTTCTGATACCCATTTTAAACTACTACCCCGTACTCAACAGCAGATGTAGAGCCGTCGTGTGCTAAATCATATTCTCAAACTCATTTTTAATATCAAGTTTAAACAAAGGAAATCTTGACGATGTTTGGATACCTGATCTAAATTAGCACAGACTTTTACGATCTTGTCTCTCCGTTTTCTCCTTAATTTTAGTTTCGATTGAGAAGATATGTCAAACACGGTCTTTCGTGCTTGATATATTACTGAACATTTCTCTGCTTACCTTAATTATTTCATTTTTACTACTATAACAGAACAGCGACAGTTCGAATAAATGGGAAAAGACAGTTCTAGAGATCGACACAAGAGAGAAGAGCCGACTACCGATCGTGGATATTTCTGCTTATGACATCGGTGGAAAAGACCAGGACTTTAAGATTGAAATTGGACCCGCCTGCTTCCATTACCTGTAGGGTTCCCACCCCACCCCCGGTCCGGCATAGTATTACATTGTCACTTGTATATTGTGTTTTAATATTAAGTCGTGTGTTGACAATGGCAGTCGACTGGAACTTAAGGGTTTTACTTTAGATAGACTAACTACATCAGGCCTACTATGGCACCACCTTTTGACCAATTACAATTTTTCCTTCAAGGTTAATAAAAGTTTGTCCATTTTAGTTGTTGTTTGGCGTTTATTGAGTTTGTTTGCTATGCCATTTTCGTTATTTTGCTATATATTTCTGTGTTGTTAGGATTGAATGTACTTCTTTATAAATAAAGATATAATAGAAGTTACAGTATAGTAGGAATTGTTTTCGCCAAAAAAGACAGTTACCTGATGCGATCATGTTTTAGTCGTTAGGAGAAATGTTAAATTAAGACAAATCGTCGAATTAACTTCAAGCTATGAAAATAAAAATGTGTAATGACTAAACAATAAAACAAATTGATGACCATACCAGTGAACCTTGATCTCGTTTGCACCCAAAAACCAGTACTTCTCTGCATACTTTCATATTTCGCTGAGCCTTGGGTCTCATTCCAGCCCTCTCACACGGTTTGGTTAGTGCGTTATTTTACAATTGGTAGTGTGGCAGCTTGTAATTCAATTTGTCGTCATTGCAGCAGCTGTTATTGTTTTGGGGCTAGAGGGCATTGTTTCTGTTGTTGGTTCTATTGTGCCCTCAAAGGGCTTCAAACCATTCAAGTGAGACTTTACGCATTTTATAATCAATCAAATCTTTTCGTCCGCACGCAATTGGTGTAAACGCGTCACGTGACAGAATACTGGGGAATATCCGAGTGATATTCCCATATTTTCAAAAGATCCCACGTGTTGCGAAAAATTCTTGAAGGATGATAAACACAAAAGCTTCCATTTAACTTAATACAAATATGCTCGGATATTTCAGTTTGTCCTTGGAACATTACCCAGGGTTCGTACGGGTCATGGAAAGCCTGGAAAGTCAATTTTATAACTTCATTTTCAAACCCTGAGAAGTCCTGAAATTGACGTGTGGGTCATGGAAAAGCAATAAACGTTCTGAGAATGACCAGGCAGAGAAAATCAAAAGTGGAAAAAACAACAGACAAGTCAGAAAACCGGTTAATTCCAATAACAAACACTAGCAAGCATTTTATGCGTCACGTAATGTGGGAAAATACCTTAACTAACAGATTGTTTTGACAATACTCGGAGAACAACTGTTTAACATAGGTCATGGAAAAAGTCATGGAAAGTCATGAAATTTCAAAAGCCCACAAGAGTACGAACCTTGTTTTCTGTTTTTTGAAGCTCAGAGTACAGTATACCGCGAGCTTCGCTCTCGGAAAACTCTTCGCTTTTCAGAATAGATCATGTCAGCGGACAATTTCGCGCCAAATGGAGCCCATTGTTTATATATTCTTTCTTGAAAGGGATTTAATAGGGAAAAACCTACTGCGATCAGTGAAAGGCAAGAAGAAGTTATGGTTAAGGGAGCTTTTGCTGCGTAATGCCCCACGTAGAAAGAATATTTTAAGTGTTGAAAGTCTGGGGTTAATCATAGTTGTTGAACGGAACTATTCACATATAGCATTGTGTCACCATTTAAAACAATTCCCGCGCCCTTCCCAGGCTAGTGGAGCTCGCGGACTGCCTGGGTCCGCTAAATATTGGCGTGTGTGCGTGTATGTGCGCAAGAACATATGCCAGTGGAGTACGTCAACAATGTGCAATATCAACAAATTTTCGTATTTTTCACAGAAAGAATCAAAAACACCATAAATCAATTGACCATGCCGAAATTAGTAAATATGCGAAGTTTCATAACCGCTTGAAAGGCAAGGAAATCTTGGACCCAAATTGCCAATTTTTACAAAGAAATGTAAGCCAGGTGGCAAGCGCTTGCCTCTGGGTTATCTAAATACCTGCTATGCCTTCACAAACATCCTAGCTGTGGCCAGTGAATTTATTCCGCAAGTAAATTGTAACTGGGTAGATCAAAATTTTTATGAGAGTGGCTCTCGATCAAAACCCCTAATAGTTTCCTAACAAAGACTTTACTAAAGACCCTCCCAGTTTTCGGGAGAGGGCGGCAAAGGTGGGGTACCAATCAAGCAGTACGCTGAATTTTTCTATTAAATCACGCATCACGGAGAATTTTTTAAAAAAGAAGTAAGTACATCGCCAATTTTACTTTCTCGACCCTAAAAGCGTCGTTAAAAGAAGAACTCTGTCGATTAAACCACAAAAATGCATCGGCAAATATGTGACCTCTCGCGTGAAAACGTTCCTTACGGTATCCGTTCGAACGGCTGAATGCAAGGCAAGTGAATGAATAATTTGAACAACGATAATCAATTTACTTGTTCCAAGATATCTGAAGACTACTTGGTTCTACATGAGTCGATAACCACTGAATACAATGAGTAATTAGTCTAGAAACGATTTAATGAAATGCAAACTGTGAAGGTAAATGTGAGGGATTTATGAGATGTGGGCTGTGTAGGTATATGCGGGGGATTGATGAGATGTAGGCTGTCTAGGTATATTTAGGCAATTCATGAAATGTAGGATGTGTAGGTATATGTGGGGGATTAGTGAGATGCAGGCTGTGCAGGTATATGTAGGGGATTAATGAGATGTAGGCTGTGTAGGTATATGTAGGGGATTAATGAGATGTAGGGGATTAATGAGAAGTAAGCTGTGTAGGTGTATATGGGGGATTAATGAGATGTAGACTGTGTAGGTATATGTGGGGGATTAATGTGAAGTGGGCTGTGTAGGTTTATGTAGGGGATTGATAAATGCAGGCTGTGAGGGGATATGGGGGGGATATTAAGGGGGTGGTTGAGGAAGAAAACTTGATTATATATACAGGAGGTTTTGTTTTAAGAGAGATTAAGAGAGATGTGTATATTGCGGTGGAGTTAACTGGCCGCCCAACCATCCGGGTGGTGTCGCACTTATAAAACGAAAGAACAAAAGACTTGGCTGTGAGCCAATGAGAAAATACTGACGTCATAGCCAAACTGGACAAACGAGTTCCCGACACCGGCTGGATTTGATTATTCAAAATGGCGGACATACCTTAACTTAAGGCTATAATATGCTAATTTGCCAAACATTCTTTATATGCACGCTTATGTTCTGTAGCGGCTTTGTAATTTATGCCATATATACAGTTATATATTAAAATACGGGTTCACCTCGTGTATCTTGAGTTACAGTAGCCAGATTAAGCCTTCACTAATGACGTTCGTTTAAGGTTCTCTCTGCCATCTAATATTACACGTTGCAGCAAAAGGGTAATTCAATTCTCGACAACGTCTACCGTCTACGAATGCCTACCAGCGAAAGCAACTGGCGGTGCCTCGCCGCCTAAAGCATCACAATTTTCAATGTTATTCCACCAGATATCATTGCCTAAGCAACATTTAGATTTGAGGTCAATTAAGTGGCGAGATCCCCGAGAACTGGAAGCTATGGAAAGAGAAATACTGGAATAATTACATGTTCAAGGACGTTATTGATGACGATGGCCTTTAAGTGTTCAAAGCCTTAAGCTATACTGAAGAAGAAGATGCAAACGATTGCCGTGTATTAATGGGGAAGATGAAAAGGTATTGCATCGGCGAAGTAACGTAAACGAAATTGTTTCAGCAGGAGGGAAAAACTTCCTACCGAAACGCTCGACAACTTAATCGCTGAATTAAAAGGAACCTTGGCAAAGAGCTGCAATTTATGTGATTTTTTACAGTTTTTACACAATACTCTTCTGCGTTCGACTGATCTTGGGACTACTTAGGATGACAGAACTCACGTTAAACAAGTGTATCAACCTTCCAGCATCCGAGAAGCAAATATAGGGATCTTAACAATGACGACGGCGACGCCGAGGACAACGCCTAGTAAAATTGAATTTGTCCAGGATGCCTATGGCTCTAAAACCTCCTTCAGGCTAAATATGTAATGACAGCGTTCAATTGTAAATGGAAGTACGAAAAATTAGCAGTTCGACTCATCGTTCGCGTTCGCGGTCATTTTTGCGTTGTTAGGGAGCTTAAGCACCGACAACGATAGCCTGCGTAGCAGTCTTTTCCATTTCCTCTAAGCGGGAGAAAGCGAGAGCCAAGGGGAAGTCGCGCAAACGCATGGGGCGAGAGCAAAAAGTTAGGAACAGGGGGGAAGGGGTAGGGTGCCCCTCCCCCCTGCCACTCGATGGTCCCCAGTCTAAGTCATAATGGCCTTGTCACATCCGTTGTTTTTCTCGACTTAGTTAAAGCTTTTGACACCATTGATCATAATATTAATTATTCCAATAATTTCCCCCCGAAAATAAAAGTGGTGACCCGTACGGGAGACTGGGAGAGATTCGGTCTATATCCATAGCGGCAGGTTTCTTTCACAGGTCACAGGTCACAGGTCACAGGTCACAGGTCACAGGTCACAGGTCACAATCAAAAAGCACTCAGTAAAACTCGCGATGTAAATTTTACCCGAGATTTCCAAGAGGTTTATCGATGTTTCCATGCAACAAACCCTAACTCAAGACCGTATCAATCATATATGTACTGTAAATTAGGTTCAATTTTTTGCTTGTTTGTTTGTTGTTSTTCTTCTTCTTTTTAAATGCCTGTTTTTACATAATCTCCAGAATGGCTGTAATTTTTAATGTAAATGTTTAGTATTTAAAGTACAATTTTATGAATAGCTGTATTTTATATGTAAATGCTGATCGCCAGTTAATACCAGTGATCCAGTGATCACTGATTGGCCTTCCAGGTTAAATAAAGTCTTTTATTTTATTTATTTATTTATTTATTTAACTAAAAATGTTTTACTGTATAATTTTAATGACAAAAATTTCTAGGGGTGATATATGTACGAAATGGGTTGAAATGTAGCTTTCAGACATGTTATGTTACATATATTTTATCGTAATAAGATAATTCATTATGATAGCAAATTGAACTGTTGTATTTCTATCTTTTTTTGAAATCTTTACAACGAGTAAGTACTAAAGAAACAAGAGGGTCCCCTATACCTCTTCTGAATACAATTTCACGCATAAGTAATTAGCCTTTTCACGCATCACAAAAAATTCGGAAAAAGCTTCACGTTCACAGAAAAAAAGAAGCAATCACTTTTCACGTAAAAATGCAAAGGCTAAATGATGTGTTACATAAAAATACAAATTCTATCCACCTTTCGCAAAAGATACAGAACCCTCCATTTTGATGCATCAAAATGCCGTGTGACACATCGTGACAGACTAGATTCTAGGCCCCCCTGGTTCACTGTAAACATCAGTGTAAGCCTCTTTCGTTTTCATATTGTACTGAAAGGCTACAAACAATTTATATTTTCAACAGAAATAACTCTCAGTGGCTCTCTTTGGATCAATTTTTTTTCAGTGCTACAGCTGATTTCCCCTATGCGTTTTTTTTTTTCAGAAAAGAGCTGTTATAGTTACACTTGGGATGCACTTGTATGCATCTGTTTTATGACATTTTGGCATATTTTTTGGTGACCTGTAACCTGTGACCTGTGACCTGTGAAAGAAACCTGCCGTATCCATGAGGCTCCTGGATAATCTGGGAGAGGTTTCACCGTCTGTGAACGGTGACATTAATAAGTGAAGGGGCTCCCGACAAGCGCGAAAAAAATAAAATAGGGCGAGCCTGAGCCTGGCGGGGCGGGATTTTTCTCTCTACAGACCACTTTCGGCTATCTCTGCCCCCTGTTTTTTCCTTCCCCTATAACACAATCGGGAGCCTGTTCACAAGCTAAGTTGGCAGAGGTTTTGCATACGAATTGAAAAGACGTCTACGCCACCTTTACCATGCCACCCCTTCGGGATAGTACATTCTGTTTCGCTTTACATGACAAGGAGACTAGAATAAAAATGGCGGGCTTCGATCAAGCGACAACATGAGCGACGATGTAAACATGGTAAATAAGCTTAATTATGGCTGACAAAGATAACGATTGGACTATACCAAGCAGTGATGGCGAAGAAGATAGTTCTGAGGCCTCGCAAAGTCAGGGGGAAGGAAAATGGGAAATTCCTTTAAAGGTTTTGCTACTTTACAGCGAAATCGAGAAAAACGGCTTTATAGAACTAAAAGTGAAAGAGTGTAGAAGCGGTGAAACGGTAAAAAAGCAAGAAATTCCAAAAGAGAGCGATGCAACCAAGGAAAACGCTAGTTCAGAACCTACTGGAAGTGATGAAACCGTACCTCAAAACCTAGACAAGGAAAAGTGAGTTCAATATGCCTAAAACTTCAGTAAAATATTTTGTGGTGAGTGCAAAACGCAGACTGCGGACTGGAGACTGCAGAACCGGGGGCAAAATGCAGACTGCAGACCAGGGGTAAAATGGAGACTGCAGACTCTTTCCATTATCGAGTGCTGACCGTAAACAAGGTTATTCAGGCCAATTGCAGTGAAAGTCTGCACTCCGCTTAGCCTGAATGTTACTCCAGTTAGCCTGAATATCACTCAGGTTAGATTGAATATCACTCTCAAGTTAGCCTGAATATCACTTCGGTTAGCCTGTTATGATGAGCTCTCAATGATAGAGTGGTAACACAATTCAGTTAAAAATTCTACAATCTGCAGTCTTCATTTAACCCATAGTCTTAATTTTATCCTCAGTCTGCAGTCTGCAGTCTTTGTTTTAAACTGACCAAAACATTTGTTGCAGTTGAGTGTAGAAACTTTAACAAGTACTTTTATCAGATCATGAAGTTGATGGGCATAAAATTATTACAAACATGAAATTCTGATAGTGAGCACTCATGACTGAGAGTCATGTATTTGCAGAGGTGAGATACAAAGAATATCCTCTTACAGGGAGGACATTGTGTTTACAACCAGAACAATCGAACCTCACTTGATGTTTTAAATGGTTTGATGCAAATTTTAGTTTTCCTGACTTACATGTACATGTAGTGCGATCAGGTTGAAGAGAAAACGATTTGCTTATTGGTCATTAAGTACAAGCTCCACAGTAATTGACTTACGGCCAGCTTAGGGTCCGTCCATGTTATAAAAAAACTGGGATCTCAGACTTGAAAATGTTGAGTAAGGCTGCACACCAAATGATTGATTCAAAGACCTCAGTCGCAGTTTTTCACTCTATGGACCTCCCAGCATATGTTGTTTACTCTACCATGAAAAGAGAGAAATCACATCAAATCCTCACTAGTGAGAATACGTGTATGGAAAATATGCTGCTCAGGGCCTAGATTTAGTTTCGTGGTGTAAATGTATTTTCCAGTAAAACACTTATCTCTAGACAATGATTTGTATTAGGTACTATTACCAACATAAATTTGAGAGCTAACCTAAGAAGGCTAACCTGACCATTATTCAGACTAACTTGAAGTGTTCCGTATAAGAGAGGGGTCTCAGGTCAAAACCTCAACAAGATCAGTCATCTGACCAGACAACTTGAGAAAACTAGTGAAGATTTAGCAATGGTTATCTCTACTGACCCGTTGGAATTCTCTTTTTGCACCTTGCCATAAAAATTTATCTGGAACCTTATAAAAAAAACTGGAGGGCTTTATTCAGGCTAACCAGAATCCCCTACGCTGCAGTCAGCAGGTTGTCACAGACTGCACAGTATCACTCAAGTACTCAAGATAGCCTGCTAAGGTTAGCACTCGGCAGTGGTAATGATACCATGATTAAAAAATTCTGCAAATGGCATACACCTCCATGCAGCCCTTCCACTCAGTTAGAAATCTTAACATAAAAATTATTTTATATCTGCACTTGTGTACATTTCTTTTATAGGACCCTTGAACCATCAGCTTTTGATTATACAGAGGAATCCATTGATGAAACTTCACATATTACAAGAAAAATTCCTAAGACTGGTAGGGTAAAATATTATCTTATCACATAAATTATAAAATCATGTGTCTGTCCGCTTATTGACAATGAAAATTAGTCAATGAGTGTGCGAGAAGTTTTGCAGTTATCGTAAAAATATCGATTGCAGATGTACAGTCTTGTAGTTTGTGAGTCCATAACTTCTTCAGTATCAGAAATGACATACAGCTGTGCCTGTTTCAATTCATTTACTCCTCCACAGAGGCTCCCTAGCAGGCTTTAAGCCAGGATTTGAAAAGTGGGTGTCCAAAATGTGTTATAGGGCCTGCTCAAATGAGCAATTTATAAGGCAACATATGGAAAATAAAACAGTTTTCTTTAAAAGTGTGGTCCACAGGATGCCTGGACACCTATCTGGCTAAAAGCCTGTTCCCAAGATAAGGGGAGGTGAAAAGGGGACTAGGAGAGCACGTGGGGAATGGTGAAGGGTCCTTCAAAACCTATGGGTCTCACAAAATTTTCATCAAATTTCATGGGTCTCACAGTCTGGATTTTGTCACAAAGCTGTCTTGCAGTCGCAATCATTTGCAAGGCTGAGAAAGTCTCTAAGTACCGATTTTTTTTTTATGAGTGATGTCTGAACATCATAAAACCAGAATCTCTTGAGCTCACATTTAAAACACCTTTAAGTCTCAGTCTCACAATTGAAGAAATAAAAATGTCTCAGGCTCGCAAAGAAAAATGCTAGTTTCACATTCTCACAAAGTCTTGCATTTATCACCCACCACCCCCTTGTGAGGAGGTGTGGTGGCCTCATGTTTAGTTTGCTGGACTCCATATCAAGCAGTCTGGGTTTGAGCCCTGGCTGGGGACATTGTGTTGTGTTCTTGGGCAAGACACTTCACTCTCACAATGCCTCTCTCCACTCAGGTGTACAAATAAATGGGTACCAGCGAACTTAATGCTGGTGGTAACCCTGCGATAGACAAACCTCCCATCCAGGGGGGAGTAGAGATATTCCTAGTCACTCCATACTAGAGACATTGGGATAACCTCTGGCTTGATGGGCCCCTTTGCTTATATGTTGACGTTACCTACCCCTAGCATTCCCTGTGCCCTTCCTTTTTCTCTCTTCCCAGCCTCTGAACTGCCAGCCGACACAGTCAAGGCAGTACAAAAGAGATCTCTGCAGAGGAGAGAGACACTGAACCATAGCTTTGCACCTTGCAAAATGACAAAACTGGTGATGATAATACTCACCCTTGGGCCATCTGTTTTACTGCAGGAAACTCAATTCTATTTATTTGTCAAGTGGAAACAAACAGCACACTATGATAGACTTAGTTTAATAGAATAATCATCTTTAATTTGCAGAACGGTTACAAAGAAAAAGAGTAGGGACATTAGAGAATGTTATTTCTGACTTGAAAAGGTTCAGAGACATGGATAATAAAGAATCTGTAGATCCTGAGAACAAAACGACCACTAAACCAGTGGAAGTTGATGCTGCAACAAAAGAGGAATCAACAGCACTATAAAATGACCAGAGAACTAGCAGTTAAAACAATGTAAATGATTAATAATTACACTGCCATGGGGCCGGGTTGTTGAAAGCCTGAGTAAACTAACCCAGGATCAGCAAGAATTTTTGATTTCAGTTTTGCAACTTTTCGGTTTATATTGTTTGTCCTTCAGTTTTGAGTTTGAATAATCTCAAACAACACAAAACGCAGTGAAACATATTTTTATACAAGAAATATTAATACTTTGGTCAACTTTTAATCCTGGGTTAGCATTAACCGGCTTTTGAATAGCCTGGCCCTGTTTGATAATTGAGCGAGAAGTGAAAAAAGTACATAAAACTAGGACTGAGGTGTGCTGGAAAGTGTTCTCTCCTTGAATTTTTTCACGTCTTTTTATCATCTTAAAGTAGTGGTAAGTAAATCTTATTGTAAGTTCATCAGTTGCAGCCTGAGTGGGAAAGCCAAGATGTTTGGCGTAAGTGTTCTATAATTATTTGAACAAGGCAGAGACAAATTGGCAACCACTCACAAAATACTTGGTTGAGTAGTTATGTGTCATTATTTTAAGTATTGCATTATCATAAGTTTTTAGTAGACTCTCTAAGGTATTGCAGTCCAAGTCCAAAAACCTTAATGTTCGGTATATTTAAGGAGGCTGACAACAGTTTCCAGCACTTTTCTAACAGCTATACTTTGAAGGATGAATACTATCACTGTTTAACAAGTGATGCTACAATAATGGTACCATACAAATTCCCAGTAATGCTTTTTATATAACAGATTAAATTTTTGAAAATTTATGGTGGCTCTGAAGTCTCTTCACAGAATTATTTTAAAACTTGCAAAAAGTTGCATCTTATCATGCTGATTACAATTCGATAATAAAAAAATGGGGGTCACCAAGCTCGTTTTTGAGTTATAAGCACCTAATTAAAGCTAAAACTTAGGGTACTTTTAGCAGGTCATATTGTTACCATGGTAACCTATTGTGCCACAAAGTTGACAGCAACATGTTCACCACTAATTGGGCAGTTTTTTGATACCATGATTTTGGCATCAACCGATATAGAGTGGTTATAATGACCCCTCAAAGTCTGTGCCTTGGAAAGTGCTGGAAATTGTTTCAAGCCAAAATCAAGAATAATTTTGCCTGTCACAAGCAACATGTGCACACTCTTGTTTTATCACTGATTGGCATAAATCTACTAGCGTTCTATCATGAATGCTGTTCTCTGATTGGCTACGCTACTATCTATTCTGTTGTAGATAGTGAGTAGCATAGCAGTGTGCAGTTGTGAACAAAATGATGGCTGCTTCTTTGCATTAATTTTTTAAGGTGTCTGTGAAGAGGATTTAGATAAAGTTTCGAACAACTAGAAGATTTATACTAAGACAATTAGATTATTCGCTCTGGATTTCTATGCGTGATAGTTGACTCAGGCTTGCAGTGCCCTCAGCAACTATCACACAATAGAAATCTCAATTCCAAGATCTAATTGTTTAATATAAAATGAAGAGAAGTGAAATTATTTCTTGTGCTAGGCCCCTGGCCAGCTCCTTCTCCCATTGAATTGTCTCTCTTGTGGCTTCTTGACTCATACTGCAACACGTGAGAGCCTGTGAGGGTCACAGGCTAGAATTTTTTTTTAAGCATTTTTGTTCATTTAGATTTGCACTGATTTGATAAAGTGTTAACATTGTTAAAATTTGTTATACCAGTAATCCATGATAAGATGTAAACAGGTAGTAACAATTATGTTCCAGAACAAACTATGTAATAGGTATAATTATTATTCTAATTAGTAATTTATAGTAATTGGACCAAGTGGAGTCCAATTTAGGGAGTAATCTCGCTTGTAATTTCAAAATCGGTTGACCGCAAAGCGCAAGGCCAATTAGAAATTACCAGCATGGTTACTCCCCGAATTGCACAAGAGTTTTGTTATAGATACGATTAGTACAGATAATTGTATGGATGCGAGTGCGATTAAGGATTTACACTGCGAGTGTTATTTGAAAATTCTCTCAAAATTGCACAAGCCTTTGGGAGAATGCAATTTGAAAGAATTTCCAAATATCACAAGTAGTGTAAATCCTTAATTGCTCAAGCTTTCATATGATTACTCGTTTATTTTATAACTCACTGAGAAAATTGCAAACATGTGAAAGTTAATTTGCACTGGAGTGGAAATTAAGAATTAACCATAAATTGGTCTGTTCTCATCCAGTCACAATGAAGTAATTTTCTCAGTCATATGATTACAGAATTTCAAATTCTAAAATACTGTATGTAAATTCCAGAACTTGAAATTAGTTAGCATATAATGCAATTAGCAGTTCCTAATGTATCTGGATCTATCTGTGTTGGCTTTTGTTTACGAATAAGAGTCTCCAATTCTGAGAACTTTAATATTATGAGCTGCAATAAAATTGCCAGTGTATGGAGACCAAATTGGAACAACAAATAGTCAATACAGTATTTCACTTGTTTATTATTAAAATATTCTCAAGGCAATGATATACACTTACTGAAGTCTTCCAAATTTGGTTTTACAAGTTATACATCGTTAACTAATCAAGCTATCAAAATTCCCTGACTGTCTTTGTGCCAGACTGACTTGATGGGTATTTGTAACATGCACTTTGTCAAGAGTGTTACAAACAGTTATCAATAATATATTACTCAATTTAAACTTGACATTACCGTTGCATTAAATAAATAATTTGTTTCATTTATAACTCAAATCAACTATGGTACTTTTTTTAAGTTGCCAAAACTGTACTTGAAGCACTAAGTCTTAAAAAATAAGTTTAAAAAAAGAGATGAAAATTGATTGGCACAGCTATTTTTGTGGCTCAGTCAACCTAAACCTTACAAAATTGAACAATTTCTACAAAAAAATTACCTGTCAAATTAACCTCCCACTTCCCTAGCATGCACAGTCAAACCTCAACTAACGGATACTAGCCACATACAAAACTACGCTTTAATCCTTTCATAAGTGGACACCTCACCCAAGCATACACTTATTCTAGTCAGTCCTAAGTGTGTAGCCTGTTTATGGAGCTTTGATTATATATTGTCAAAGCTGCAACATCAGCTCTAAATTCTTTTAACTTCTTCCCAGGGCTACATTTCCTATCATTTTTTGAAGAGAACTTTGTTTTTCATCAAGATTATCTTCTGAACTGATCAGGATTGCATTTCTCATGCTATGCCCCCTTGAATTTGTTATAAGAAGTAAGAAGTAGTTAGAACTGATCACTTCTAAGGCACCATAAAGTTCCAAATCTGGGAGATAAAAGTGAACAGTTTACTAAATGATAGATCTTTTGCAGTTAATTGTGAAATTGAGCAAAATCCAACATGCCACATGACAAACGAATACAACATATCCTAAAACAAAGTGAATTGAACCAATGTTTAATAGACCATTTTCATATTCTCGGTACTGGA